CGGACATTTCGTGGACTGACCCAGCACTCTACATTTCGATAATTTAGAGTGTTCCTCATTCTTCACCAAGACTGTCTCACAGACGACGGGAGTCCACTTTGATCATGAAATAAAAGCCTTGTGATTGGAGTGCGCTAGCCAATTAAATAAATGTCAGCTCGTCGTGATGGGTGAACAGGCATAATACGGTCTATCAGCTTGTCGTGTAACACCAGTAACTAAATGTTTTGCCATTCAGAAGGCGTTCTGGATATCGGTTGCACATTTTGGAGAGAGGTCACTTCACCAAGCTTTTCATTTTTGCTGGAAAACCAAATTTGGCCTCACGTGGATGCCTCTTCCCGAGGTGCTGTTATCCCACTGTTCACTTTTCAGTCCTTGTCAAAAGTTGATAACCTTTATGTGCCGCGGAATATTGCTAGCTGTCAATGGGTGCGTTCCGAACTGTCCCGTTATCTAAGGGTGTCTCAACCACTCTTACCATTTGTGGAGCAGCGCCGTCATCTTTCTTTCTGATGACTTTGCCCATCTGTTTCTCCACGTGCACTGCATGTGACAACCCGTTACTTGTCATAGCTCACATTGGTTTGGAACTGCGTATGTTCTACCTGCCGTCAGTGTTACGTCTTTTAGCTGACAGTAGCGTGGGAATGAAGTTACCCACGATGCCCGTGTTGGTTGCGGATCGAGAATCACAAAGTAGGCATAACGCGTTTGTTGGTCGTTCGATAATGAAGACCTGTTCTGTGGGTAGTACACGTAGTGTTGACTAAATCAAGCACGACTGTTGAAATCTACTAATAAATGAAAATGCATCGGGTACAACTGCAGAGTATGATCGATCTGATTCAAATGGTAAATTACCCGTGAGTCACGTGAATAGTTTTCACTCCAACCAATAACAGAAGACTATGGGTTTACATGCTTCCGGATGTTTCGGCTGACTCCTAACTCTGATGATTCGGTGTGCAAACCAGATTCAAAGCCTCTAAATTTCATTATTGCATTCCCTCAATGGGACACTGTTTCTGGGTTTTCTGAGAGTTGCTCACCGTACACACTAGTCTCTCTCGACAGTGGCCACTATTGGGCGCGAACAAAATTGTTCAACTTCCTCAGGTTGGTTAGCTCTTCTGGGTGTGGGGATTTGGTTCCCCTTTAGTGGACGAAGAACAGAACATTGGTATTCTGGTCGACTGTTTGATGGAACCGCTCCTGAAATGGACTTCGTTACACTTCGGTGTTTGGGCCGAAATTTCTCGGAATACGCTGATAAACCTCATCTCCAGTATTCGATGAACAAGTTCGTAGGATCGCGCTCTAGATAGCCTGGTTTCGACGCTCTCATTTGTTGGGGAATTCCAACGTAGGCGTGGTCTAATTTCGTCTGTCTGTCTATAGCCCTGCGGGCAATAGAGACCACTTTACAAAGCAGCCGCAAATATTCCTAAAGAAAACTTACTTTCGTGTAACTCGATCCACTAAAGATTCATTGGTAGCCGCTCCACAATTCGCCATGAGTTTGAGTCCTACGCAGTTGTCCACTCATCATGTTTTTTTGTACTGACTGTTCAAGAAAGGTCATCTCAGCATGTTTCATCGTTTTGGTGATAGCCTCGCTGGTTAACGGAAACGGTAGCCTGTCGGTCAGCTGCTGAACATTAACTGTTTGACCTTTCGAAATATGATGGCAGATTGATCAAATTAGGTATCTTTTGATCAGGAGTTGAGGGTGTTTTGATTTCAATTTTGAGCTAAGCTAAAAGTTGGGCTCAACCTGAGGTCTGCGTGACGTTATCAACCATCATCAACAAAGCGATGAAGGGACAGAATTGGGAAGCTGTATAGAGCAGCAAACGTGCGTGATGATGAATCACATTTCCAAACCTATATAAATGGTGGCCAAAAGTGGCAAAGTACCACTTCGCCCAATAGGAGTTCATTGGAGGTTGGGAAGCAGACTATCTAATGTTTCCGTTTTGTCGTCACACAGCGTGAAAAAGCCAGATTTTCCGAGAACTCCCGATGAGGGGAGTATTAATGTCGTTGAAAGAATGGTTGGGATTCTCTCAGCCCGCATGCTATCGTAAATTTCCAACTGTGAAATTATTCTGTGTTTGTACTCCACCACGTTTGCTCGAATGCTTGGTGTAAAATACAATCTTACGGAAGAAAAGGTCAGATACTTTTGCTGGTCATGAACTTCAGCGACACATATGTTGAGCCCATATCACTTGGATGAAAGCTTGGTGCATGCGGCTGTTTCGTAACCATTTAGGCCCAAATTGTGAATCTGTGACCATTAGATTAGTTAAGTCGAAGTTAACTTAGGATGTGTAAGATACAGGCTTCTCGTGGTCGAATCAAGATTCGAGCTTTTTATAAGTTTGTTGGTAGAGGACTCGTGTTTTTACACAGCTTCATGGTTGGAAGAAACTAGAAGAGACGGGAAAGTTGCTTATTTCATTTATCCACCGGGGAACATCAGAACTCCATTCCCTTCTGAAATTTATCTGAAATCCTATACCACCAGAGTGTTTGATCTGTTGAAGCAAGCTGGCTGCTTCCGATCGATTCAACAGGATGAATAGCACGGAGTCCATACTCTGAAACACGTGTGACTCAACTATTTTCACGTCTGAGCACCATAGCAGCGATGAGGATAACCAACAAGCAGGCACGTGGCCACCTCCTTGTAGATGAGGGGATATCCGAACGGGGACCATTTAGTCTCGGTCTCAATCAAATGAAATTCTTGTAGCTTCGGTCGCTTCCTTTCCATTTGAGGACGCATTTTGCAAGTCAAAGCAGTCTGCCCTCGTTGGGAATCGTCAACAGTGCGCACCTAACGAACCACCGGCCTTTAAATTAGCCTTCATCATTCGCTACGAGTAACCAATAGTCAGTGCGGAAAACTAATGGTCAGACGGGATATAGCACCATTCTTCCTTCGAACAAGCAGTTCAAATCACGTGACCACGGGCTGACTTATTTCTTGGGTAACAATATCCTAAGCTTTAGCTGGAGGTAGCTCGGTAGTTATGGTGCGAAATCACTGACCGGAAGGTCCGTAGTTCGAACCGAAATCCGGCATTTCGGCTGCTCCTGTCTAGGTTTGAGAAATCTGGCAGTGTTTCAGCCTATCTTGCTTTCTTCCGTTGACCTGTTCATTCATTCATTATTTAGATTTAAATGATCCTCGATTTCCAGTTTGATAGTGACAGCTTTTCACGACGAGTACAGCTTAGTTGACTCCATGTTGCTACATTAGCACTCTTCCGTAGACTTAGTATGTTACCTCAGTCGCATTTTTAACCCTCCATTCCGTGAAGTCCTTCGCTAGAAAATAAGCATGAGACAAAACGACCTAATTCTGACATGTAACAAGCCCCAATTACTCTTTGTCATAAGTGAATAACTAGCCATCTTCCATTTGTTCCTGCTTATGTTGTGTCGAGAAATCCGATATTGTCGAAAGACAACGTGGCATTCAAAGTGCGTCGCTCGTAGATCGATAGGTGGAAATAGCAGTTTTGTCGGCTATGAAACCAGACTTCAGTTTTGCGTCGCGTCTGGTTTCTAGAAATTTTGCAAGCGTTGTCTGGCATTCTTTGTCGGTCCACTCGTCAGCTGTTACTTCCCTTGCTATTCAGCTATAAGTTTGTGGAGCATAACATTTGTCCTACTACAGTTATTGGTCTCTGGTGGTTGTATTGCTTTATTTCCACAGCACCGTTCGATGTTGTCAATATTGTCGCCCTTCGTTCTCATGTCTATGCTTTTGAGTCAAACATATAAATCAGGTGTTAGTTGATTCACTGACCGTAATGTAAAATTGCTCTAGATGTTTGTTCAGCGTTTGTTGGTCGAACTTCGTCTCCTGATGTTACCGGCTGTTTGGCATACACACTGATACGGTCTCCAGCCTTATCTGCCCACATTTGACAAGTTCTGTGTCTATCCTACGCAAGCCTGGAAAAGTGGCGAATCTCTGTTTGGGGGGAGGGGTTGTCTCCTATATAGCCGTAAATCGTCAAACTTTACTTTCTGTTCCTCTCCTAATGTATGTAATAGTATTTGAATGGATCTGTCTTCATGGGTACCAGTGGTTGTAGCGATGCTGTAGTGCAACAATCAATCTCCATCAAAACCTTGAGAAATTAGGCGAATCGGTCGAATAGGGGAGGAGATTGCAGTATACAGGGGTGAAGGAGTGCACCATATGTAGGACATATGATGATATTGGAGGGAGTTGTTAGATAGGATGAATGCCAATGTACAAGTTGGTAACCAGGCTTTCTACAACTTTTGATGCATCCAATCGATCAGCATAGGTGATTTTATGCTTTTGCGACCGTAAATATTGCCTGAGTCGAACTCGTTTCACTCAGCAGTGAAATTCTCTTGTGTCACTGCTCGTAATACGCCATTTGTGAAATCTTTTCTTTACAAGGACATTGCCGTTCACTTTGAATGAACTGCAGAGGATTTCTTTTACACTAAATTAGCTGATTTGTGATTGTGACCTGGTTCTCCATGGAAGTGAACTGTTAGATCACTTTGATGTCCGGTCTGAATATTAAGGTTTATTTTGATGCAGGCTAGTTTGACTTGAAAGCTACTTATGGGATCTCTCCTATATTACGGTATATTGTTGAATGCCTGGGCAAGCGACAATGGGATAGGTGGAAGTTCTGGTTCTCTGTTTACTTCGTTAAACTTGACGAACTGCAATGGATTGTGCAACCGCATTGCATATAAAACTTCTGGTAGGTGAGGAACAATCTGGAACCTCCGATTTCCATCTGGCTCCTGGTATCTGATCATAAGCAGTTGAGTGGAGAGTACTTTTAGTTACCTTATGGTCCTTTCTTTTGTCCTTCACTCTTTCAAAACAATTATTTTACTCTGAGGGAAACCTGTGTTCTCTGTATGGTGAATCAATACGACTCTTTATCGACTACTTTGTTGTCCATTTTAGACATATTTGGAACTCCGTGATGAAGTTGGCTCAAGCCGGTCCCGTTGAGATATTTAAAATGCCAGCGGTACCCACAGAAGAACGGAAAGCCTCATCTCCGAGCTTTCGTATCCCTCTTAAGTCCAAGTCCCGTAATAACTCCCACACACGCGGACAGTCATTGGGTGTGCCACAACACAAAGTTAGGGAGGAACATGCGAGCAAAGAGTCTCGGCATCTCAATAGGTTCTCAATTTTGTTGGAATCCTTAAGACGTCGCTCGAAGTCTGCTGATGTGCGAAATGATTGTGACACATACTCCTCCGGGAATCGTACCGAACCATCCTTTTTGCAGCCTGTTCTTGTTCCCTCAATGACATCAGGAAAGCAGGAAGTCCAAATATCGACCATCAAGCTTACCACATGTTGTTACGACCAATATAGACAGCACTTTAACGCTCGTCGTGGTTCTACCACTGTCTCCGCCTGTCGACCGTACTCCAAGAAGTCTGAGTACTGTAGCCGTCCACTGTCGGCTGTTGGTGGCTACAACAATGGCAATTTGACCACACTCTCGCCTCTTGCATCCTGTCGGGCTAGGATAACTACCAATCGAAGACCTTCCTCATTCCATCCTACATCCTGCGTGAGCGACCATCATAATCCTTATCTATATCAAAACGTGACCTTGCTTTCTAGTGCTTGTACTAACCGAAACGATGAAAGGCGGCGATGGAGCCAGGTGAATCCTGAACAGGAGCGTACGAGCTCTGTCATGTCCACCTCACTGTACGATTGTCCACCATCCTTGGCTCCCTATCCATGTCCTGCCGTCCAACTTATTTCGCAAGCAGAATGTATCAATCCTGCACCTCCAACAGGTTGTTTTTCATCGAGGCAGTTGCCCATGTATAAGCGGAAGACGCGCACTCTATCTCCGGATGCACTTCCACAGATTGTTGGTGGTTTGGAAAACACCACTTCAGTTATGACCAAGATCGACGACAATTTCAACCCAATGCTTAACCCTTCGTCCCAGGCAGTCTGCTCCCAACTTACATATACGTGTAACTCAACCGACTACAGACATTCCGCTTCATCTCATATGGCTTGCGTCACAACCTTCAGCGAGTTGGACAGCTCATTGGAAATTCGCTTGCTGAAGCGACTTCAACCGAGCTCCACTTCTAGTGATATTTGTCAAGTGAGAAAGTTTTCCGCTTTTTCATTGTCATTGACTAACTATTTGCAGTTCGCCGGTCGGTATGTTACCATACTCGTAGTGAATGTGAGACGGTAGTGGTGTTTGGGTGAGTACATCAAAGATGAGTAGATAGATATTATCTCATTCAGTCCATTGTGTATATAAGCCGTCATGTGAACACTTGTCATTTTGTTAAAATGTCTGCATCCTATAATATACGAGGACTGTCACCATCACACGGGCAAAGGTTTTCGGTAGGAATAGGATTTCTAACTTGAAAGATATCCAGATGCGCAAAGCACGAACCAAACTAGACGCTTTTGGGTGGACTCGAACTGTTTACCTACCGACTGAGCAACTGAAGACACTTGCTGTCTATCACACCTATGCGCATCACGACTGATTCACTCCAACTTTGTCTAATAAATAGTTTGTTTACACGTGTCTGTCACTAATCAGCTCCTCATGTGCCTCCCAGAATGAGCCCCGGCACAAATTGGCACAAATTGATCGACATTTAGGAGTGACAAATACCAGTAAACGTAGGATTAACAAAAGTACGCGCTTTCGGTGGACTTTATCTGCCGGCCTCCTTCTTTCGGAATGACTGAGCTACCGAACACGCTTGCTCCCACTTCTTACTTCAGGATCAACCCTATTCCATCCTGCTCTCTAACAACAAGTAAGTTAGTAAGATATAAACAAAGACTGAATTCACAAGGATGGTCCCCAAGAAATATCCCTTTTTGTAGTAAATTAGTAAAGGTCAGATGTTGACCTGTTTTGTATTTTTCTATATCTGGCTGTTTGGTTTTTGTTATTAGGCTACCCGAGTTGAGAAGGCCAAAGAGCCCAGTAACATTTTATGGAGAGACAGGTACATTCTGAAGTTGAGGAAAACGCTATTTAGAACACTAGTAGGCTAATGCATCAAGATGTTTTAAGGTTTTATCAGTCGCCATGAGATCAGAAAAAAATAACACTGTAGAGTGTGGAGAACCCGCAAAGGTGTACAAAAAACGAAGAGAAGACTTGGAGACATTTAAACTGCCGTGTTCTTTAGACAGAGAAGCAACGATTACCACACGCAAGCTGCCCTTGGTCAGAAATTTATTTTCACTGTGTGAGACCTTGTCGAGCTCTTCAGACGAATGGAATTGACAAATGACAATTGAATGCATATTTGCACCCTTTGAAGAGTCTAAAGTCCACTCAAGTTCTTTGAGGGAGGCTTACGTTAAACTAATAAAGTTTTGAAGATCATTATTCTAGGTTGTTGCGAAGAAAAGAGTGAAATCGTGGATATAACGTGGCACAGCTATCAGCCCAAAATCTAATAAGTATGAAAGGACGCAGTCTATGCGAAATTAAGGAAAATGGAGGAAATTCATGGAATATGTTTGCGGAGATTTGAGGTTTTTGTAGCACGTATTGCACAAGAAAATTTCCAGAAGGTTATATAAGAACTAGCATTTTTCCATGACACAATAAACCGTTCGTTGGAGATATGAAATTAATGGGAACAAGCCTGGTCCAATGGGAATGGACGAATGTGGAAGGCCGCCATCGGGTTTTCGACTTTAACACGCGGTATGAACGGAAATTGATCAATAAAGGAAGCTCAAAAAATTACGGAAATGAGAGGAAAATGGCGCAGAGGTAGGATTCTTCAAAACGCTTTCCGTGATTTGGGCTTGCCGTTTCACCTCATTCGGTAATTTGGTTATTTCTTGTCACGCTCGCTCGTCACGAACGATGTTGAATCGAGATCTGCTTTACCCGACCACTCACAATTATAAAATCTGTCCGCAGAGTTTATTCACTTACTGAAGATCCAATTAATGAAATGGACCTGTGGCGCGAATGGTCGCATCACAAAGGCCTGCATCACAGAAGACTGTTTGGTGCACTCCTCAGCTCAGGTTTTATTTTCAAAAACTGAATGTTTCTATAAGGTAGGCTTTAGGACAATAGGCCTTTTTCGAAAAATCGTTACTCACGCATACGCAACAACCAGATACTTTGTATCTCTTTGTTTTATGGTACATACGCAAGTAGGATAGTTGATTGATAAAATGGCCAATATGGTGAACGGGCGACAAAGTAGCTAGGCTATCCTACAAGGGGAGCATTGTTTCTCTCCGTACCACTTAGTTAACTTTTTTGGGATGATACAGAGTTATAAATGCCACGACTTTCCATAAATCTTGACTTGGACTTGGCAGCGGTTTTCAGCCGAAAATTTCGATGGTTTGGGTGATGGTGGGAGCTGTAGACTTGAGGGGACCAAACATTTGAATTGTTTGTATTCGGTCCAATGAATTTGTTTCCTGAATCGTTTGAAGAATTCATCTCCACTGATTTTGTACTCTGCGCTTGTGTCGTCGACTGCTTCTAGGGTCTTATCTGTATTGATGGGCAACTGGTGGATAGGACGTATTTGTTGGCACTACAAGACTGATCTCAGCCTGACTGAGGCTTAAAATAAAATAAAATAAAAGTAAAATAAAATAATGATATTCGTTCAGCAGTAACACCCTCTTGGTGCCTTGCGGCTACGCTATCTGAAGTAAAAAGTAGCCTGGGATACTGTCGGGTTGCCCAGGGCTAGACAGGAGTGGTCGAGATGTAAGGATTTGGTTCGTACTACGGACCTTCTGATCGGTAATTTCGCTCCTTAACCGCTGATCAGTCTCGAGGTGAAATGGAAATATATTGCGAAAACACTGGTTACACGCTGTATGTTTGACGATTATTATTGTATCCCCGTTTCCGTCACGCCTACGTCGGGATTGCATGAGGTCCAAACACCTCTGTGGACTCAGGATGTCCGTTGGTCGGAACGCTGGAAAAGTTTGGTTGATTGCTCTTAGCGTAACTGCCCTGTTTTATATGGCCCCGTCTTTTTTAATGGGCAGTTGACTGATAGGCAAGAAACACTTGATGGACGAGGCCCAACTGCTTGGGAAACTCGGTCATACTGTCGCGTATCTAACTCTGTGTGTTGCAGGAACCGAGTATCAGGGTTTGTGGATTAAGCAAGCGGATTCTTTGGGTTATTACCGAATGCAGGCACAGTAAATTGGTCATGATTTAAGGAGAGAATGGGCACTGCTGGTCGTAGTGTTTGACGAACAAAAATCGGAAGACGGATGAGGAAATTACAAACGAAATACCGATATTGATTGGACCTGTAGTTACTGGACTAGGGAGGTGATGGTCCGAGCCTGCTACAGTCCGTACAGATGGGGATCAAATGAAAATGACCTAAATACTGTTCACCAAACATTCCTATTCAGTTGTGTGCAATATTTTGAAAGCTGCGACTGAACTCATCTAATGGCGCGCTTTTCGAATCTTAACTCTTGGATTCGATGATATGTTCGCCAATCCATACCGTGTTTTTCCTCGTCATACCGGTTAATCCTTTTCAGTATGATTGCAAACTCAGTGCTGTTTGATTTTAGATGTTCAGATTCTTTGCGATCGTTATTGTGCACAGCACCTCGAGATTCACAGTCGGAAGGCTGCATTGCACCGCTGCCTTGCTCAGTCGTTAGTCCCCGAGTAGTTTTCGAGAGAAGAAATTTCATAACCTGAAAGCGGACGCCTTACCCAAAAGATATGATTTTCAAGAGACTGATTTTCACAAACTAATGTATCGGTAATTTCAACCAACAAAGCATTCGGTTTTTCATCAGGAGTTGCTGATATTGTGCAATGTACTGTTTTTTCCAAGGGCTACGGACGTCTTGTTTCAACTACCTTTTAAAAGATACATCCTTAGTTTTCAGTGGAACGTTGTTTTTTTTCCGAACAGGTCACCGCCTGCCACTTCACGCCCAAATTGTGTTCCGCTGTTGTCCAGCCCCACCGAGAAGCCCAGAAAAACAGCTTTTCCACAGTCTCTGCCCGTCGTCCTGCATCCACCCTCATCCTTTCAGACACTGAGTTCGAATTTACGGGTAAAACGCATCCATTTATGAACGGTTTACGTTTGGAGGGCGCCAAGGCTGGTGACTTGCGAAGAAATTGTGTGTCTCAACCAATGAATTGCGAAGCTACTCTCATAAGGCAGTTAAGCGAGCCTGTGGATCACGTGTCGCTAGAGCGCCAACGAACGGGAGCAAGTAACGGCGTGCCAATGCCTAAGGCGTATCCGACATCCGGCTCACGTACCACTAATGACTGTTCGCCTTTAAACAGTCATAATCAAGTTTCACACAAAACCAACAGGTACACACGACAAGGCAATCGGACAGAATGTGGTGAGTCACGCGTCAGTTTCCGGTCCTTTTCTTGTCTACTAATGGTCCAACAGACTGTTTCCGACTGCTTTCACTGAGTGGAGTGTACTTAATGCAGGACACCAAATTTTCAACAGTCTTTTCGAGTGTCGTTTTTACACTCTATGCGCGTTGAATGGCAGCTGTAAGCTGCAAGAACGCGCCGGTCTAACAAATCATTTTTTGTTAAGAAGTGCAAAGATTTCAACCTCCATTCACGGATTCTGTGCTGCTTACAGAATGGATGGCAGGGAATGTAGAATCCCTAATCAGGGACCTCTGTAAAGATGATGGGCATGCACATAGAACGCAAAAGCAACATCGGAACATTTCGAAGACATGAACAGAGAATAAGGACACGTATTAAATGGAGTCAGTTTCGATCAAATGGTAAGCGTAACTTGATCTGGAATAGTTGAAGGTTACAAGGGGCTGGGAGGATAAAACAGGAGAATGCTCCAGAAGTATGCTGCTTTGGGCATCAAATAAGACTAGAAGAACTTTATGTGCCCATGGAGAAGTCCTACCAAGTGGCACCGACTGGAAGTCGGGACATGAGTTCAAAAGAACACTTGCTGTGGTATCAATGGTAGAATAAAGGGTGTGCGGCTATATTCCGATGGAAGAGGCCATCGGACGCATATTTTTCCCTAGAGCTTCACTGGGAAGTGGAGTATTTGTAGGAAAGGCCTCACTCTATATTTGACAGTGAGATCTCACGATAAAGGGAATTTGAAACTTGTCTATCGAAACTGTTCAAAAGCGAGGGAGGAATTTTCGGGAATGGAGCGGAAATCCGACTAACTACCTACCTGCTTACCTACTACTTAACTAATTTGATATGAATCGACTAGAAACAGCTGTTAGAAAATGACAAACCAAAAGTTAACAACTGGAGGGTTGAAATAAGGCCATAGGTGCTTGATGAGGCGTGGGATGGAACGGCGAAAAGAGATGAAGGCGTATAAGGATTCGAGATGATCGAATGTAACTGCAGGTGTTCAGTGTGATCATGGTCTGCACGTAGTCTTTACTCAACTGAGCTCAGAAAAACACTGAAAGAAATGAATTCATAGAATGGTACAGTCGTCTACAAATGCACGCACGAATGCAACCGTAAACGGGTGAAGGCAGATCATATACGAACGTTGAAAAAAATGGGAGATGAAGCAGCACGTTGCGGACCTAGGCTCTGATGCTGCGTATCTGAAAAGTAGCACCGTGATGATGAGCTTATCGATAAAAAGTTTCCAGTCCAGTCGATCAAATAAAGTGCAAGAAGCACGTCCGTATTTTGGGGAGAAGGTCCTTCTAAAACACTGGATCGAAATACCCAGGGGCACCAGTTCGGGTTCACAAGACAGTATAGAACAGGTGAGCAGAGATGAGCACGTCAACCAGTTAGAGCAATAGCGCCTAAATCCCTGTTGCTGGTCGCTAAGATGCCTAACCAGCAGTCAGCTTGTTAGGATGGATCTCGGAACAAAATGGCTGTATTAAAGCTGTAGTTGTTCTGATCGGGAATTAATCTATGCTCAGATATAGTGAGTACATGTGGAATTTGTCACGAAGAGGGATAGGTGGAAGAAGTGAACGACAATGAGAGCGAAGCACAAGACACAGTTACTAGGGAAAAAAGTGAGGTATGATCCGGAATGTTAATGTAGGCAAGAGGCTGGCGAGTTTTCCTAACGATCATGGTGGTTAAAGATGGATAATTCGGCGCTGATGGGAAAAATCGTGCCAATGTCGGTAAAATGTCGGTAAAAATTGAGCAAATATTTCATTTTTTTCCGATTCGGGAATGGAAGGAGAGGTGAGTGAACACATTATGAACGATCGACTTCCGGAAGACGCGCCATTAGTTGCTAGGCCTTGAGTTTAATGAGTTTATCCTTGACCATGCCGGTGGTGATACTGCGTGAGTTGCGAGCCAACACATATTTGGTAAACGTGTTTTGAGAAAGTTGCATTCGTCAGTGTCGGTTGGCGTTTTCTGTGTATCGAGTAGAGGCAGACGTCCAACTAAGGATAGTTTATTCGTTTGGCGAATCGAGGGATAAGTGGTAGCATATCCTCATGCAGAACATTAGTAGGCTAAGTAAAAGTTGGGACATCACTCGAGTGTCAAACCTATCAAGGGTAAGAGGCAAACATCCGATGCATACCATTCGAGTGATTGGGGGAGTAACACCAGAAGATTCGATGCAAAGGAGGGTGAGCGGGAAGGGCGGAAATGAGTGGACAAAGTGGTGAGAATAAAATTGGAGAAACTGATTGGATTGCAGGAGCCTACAGAGAATTAATCAGATTTGATTGTCGAGACATTGTTGAGGATCAGGTAGCGATCGCCCTCACCGTTCGCAGCGCTCGATAGAGAAGAAGCAATTTAGGGTAAATAATTTTGTGAAGCATGGCCTGCTTAGTCCGTGTGTATCGAGGAAGTGAGTACCAGCTCGGGGGTCTAGGGTTTGAACTCGCTGTAGCTTCCGAGATGCGCACTGCTGATGAATCCCAATAAGGCTGAAATGACTGCTCAGTGGTCCTCGGCTCTTTGGCATAGACTGGCTTCACCTACAGGACGAAATCTCAGATGGAAACGCAGGAATAGTTGTAACGCTTCATGAGAGCGGAGGAATTAGAAACTGGGATCACTGGGACGATGGAAAGTGATGAATGCGCGTGAACACAAAACCCACGTTTAAAACGGGAGCACTGGTAGAGAAACAGAGTGACCTGTAGCTAGATGTGATTGAGGTAGTGGCTGCCAGGACTTAGGATGGAGAGTGGGACAGAAACTGAGAGTTAACAGGTTGCGGTGACGTTATTGTGCAAAGTGATCGCGAGTGAGGCTATTAATGTGTAATACGGGTGACTGTTTTTTCTCTGTGTATGTCAGTGGTGCGTTTCTGACGGCATCCCATGAGGATTCGAGCTGGCGAGCTGTTGACCTTTAATCTAATGGTTGCTAATCGGCAGACTGAGAGTGAATACAGCGTTAGAGCAGTACGTCGTATCCTGATTTCAAGATTAAAAGCGAAAAGTATTCTCTTAATTTATCAATTCTTAACTTTGTCAAGCCAGGTGCCAGCAGCCAACATGAAGGCACCCTGTTGAGGTCGATCTTGTCCACGCCGATTAAAATCCTCAACGAAAGTGCTGTTCCGCTTTCGCTTTTCCGATCGAGTATTGCCAAAACATTGAGTTCTGGTTTTCTGATTGAATCCCTTCAAAACCGGTTCTTATAATGGGAATATGCCTAGTCAGTTTTTTTTTTGAATTCAAAGTTCAAACCTTCCATGGCAAACAGCGAAGCATGCAAGCAACATTTGATAGTCAGCAATTGCCAACCTGCAGCTAGTAATCGAACGTGGTTCAGAGAGTACAACCAACAATTTGGGGTGTTTTTTTCCGGAAGATTCGAGTATGTGGCTTTTGAATGTACAATTCACTCTGCTGAGCACATTCGAAACCTAGCCGCTACGAAAAAGAAAGTGAACTAATTTATGCATTGGATTTACTAGGAAGGCTGATTTATTGTGAGTAGGCCGAGTGCCATTCCTTCAACCCATCAAGTTTTCTTGAATGATTGGGCTAATTAAGCGAGTGCATTTCGTTAAATTCGTTCCAGAAAGTTTTTTTGTCCTCGCACTTTGCGGCTCAGGCTTCACATGACACGAGTGGCTCTATTTAGCACATCCATCATTGCCACTGACAGTCATCACCATCTAACTCATTGTTTTATTCGGGTTTGGTTTCATGATGTTTTGAGATCTGATGGGAATCATGCTGAGGGATCCTAGTTCCTACAAACAGGTGTTCTTAGCATTCGCGTGTTCAGTTGTCGTTCAAACAAATGACAGATTTTAGGCTCGTTGGAATCTCACACGAAAAACAAAATTGTGTGCAAATAGGTGGTTTCGCCAGATACTGCAATTTTTCACTCCTAGAATGCCAAGAATAGACTGACAAAACGGAATGTCAGTCTATTTCCATTTCACTACGTTAGTTGGTAAGATGGATAACCAAAATACCATTTACTGAGTGCCTGTCTGTCAGAGTCCAACATGTCCGACATTTTTTGGAACGCTTGCTGCTTTTGGGGACATTGTTACAGTGTTACTTGGTTTATGAGTGGGTATTTTTTAACCACACATTTGCACTTTGTCGTGGCGTCATTGAAGGTAGCCTATATTCTGTAACGACGTTTCTAGGAAAAAAAATCAAGCATGATTGACGTGAATCCATAACAGGAAGGTTTTGCTTGTCAGAGGAAAAAGGGCAGTGGAAGAATGTTGGATGCTGGGCGCTGCGAATCAGTTTTACGCTTTCATTGTGAATTACCGTCAATCGACTTTCGTCGTTTTCCATCCGCGTTCTTAAAGTGGCATCTTCTTTCATTCTATGGGGTCGAGTATTTATTCTACCTAAAATGATTCTGAACTCTCACCTATTCAATGGATTAGTTTTGACCGTCTGGAAGTGTTAATACTTGTGTTGCGCCGGGATGTGAGATTCGAATAAATGTTTTTAGTTGACGATGCACTTAACGGATCCAGGGTAGGATGCAAGTTCCTGTTCGTACAATCTATTGCGTCTTATGTTACGTCTTAGTTAGCATCTGCGCTCCCCTGTTTATGTTGGCTTGAATGGCTGCTTTGCGCGGAAGAGATGCCACAATTACAACCGTAGCGGAAGCACATAATGTACTGCAAACGTGAACGTTGTTGGCTGGGTCACTGTAGCAGTGGTATCGCACAGCTGATGGAAATATCTCAGCTGGGTGTTCGGGAATAACTTTTATGGGTGAATGGAAGTGTGGGTTGCAGGGACAGTGAAAACCGGTTATCACGCACCTCATCTACAAGACGGGAAGCAGCAAACCGAAGAAATGGGCGTGTTCGAAGTGGCTTACTTGGAGATACGTTATTCCGCTTTGCTTGCAAATGTGACAGCTACTCGGTGGGTGACAACAAATAT